ATTTAAGCAATTATCACCAAAAGAGTTCAAATATGGCTTTAATCTTCTCAAAACATACCAAAAATTCATGCCAAATTCGTACAAAATGTACGTTAAATATTCACTTATCAACAACTTAATGTATAATAAGAAGAAGCAATATGGGACTACTTTATGGACTATTTTTTGTTTGCAATAGTAACTACTTCTCATTATTTGATGGCTATTTTTTCTCACAATGTACTATTGTTTGTTCAATTAAAAAAAACCTCCTTGCCCACAGGCACCAAACACCCACGCATCGCCCTAGTATATATATATATATATATTCACGGCTTATGAACTTAATAGTTAACTTTTACTCTCTTCCGCTTGTTTATATTCATTGCCATAAACTCGATTCACTCTATTGTTCTTTTTTCTCTTTTTTTTCTTTTTGTTTCTTTTCATAATGTCTTTGCCTTGCTCATAAAACTCAAGTGTTTTTTTTTTGTATATTAGAGCTTTTCATAGTTGGGTGGGAAGCGACCTATAATCATTATTAAAATATGAGTTAATAATTTTTAAGGAATGAAGGAGAGGAAAACAAATGTAACCTTGTATGCATTTTGGTTGTGGACTTCCAGAGTTATAGGATTCAATATTTCATTTGATTTGGACTAGAACTTTTTTTTAATCTAATTATTTCCCCTAACTAATGAGTGTTAAGTTACTCTATATACTTGACCCTATTCCATAGGTTAATCCAGTTGAATAGAATTAGGATATGAATTAGGGTTCGTGATTGGATCTTAGTTAACTATTGTAATCAAGTGTGTTGGTGGCTATTACCAATTGAACAATTTAATACGTGCTATCCTTGTTTCAATTGCTTGGCAAGAAGCATTGATGGTGAAGGATAAGAAGTCGGAAAGTATGGAAATACTTGACGATGAATCTAGACAGGTGATTCAAGAGTTAAGAAAAAAGTGAAATCCAATGTTGATTTTGGACGTGAATCGGTGGAAATTTTCTCACAACTCTATCGATTGATACTTCATCCCAGTGGTTTCTAGATTCCAGTTATATTCTTTAGGCGGTGTGTCATATGTTCTAAAAAAACAAAGGAATCTAATTTTCAAATGCTAGAAGACTCTAACAGTTACGAATTTTCGTTGCAAGTGGAGTCTTAGAAATCACACATGGCGAGACAGTCCTGAAAATAGGAAGAAGTATGGCAATTTTACCACTTGGTTATCTCAATGATTAGAAATAGAATTCACAGAAGGGGATCCCAAATAACAAGTGGTGATGAGAAAAAATCCTGTAAAGGGAAATGGTGAGTTGATGCACCTTCTCGCGAGTCAACTGAAAGTTAGACTCGGGGTAACTAAACATATTCATTTGTCGATTGAATCAATTGGGTGTCAGGGCTATATTGATTCGGATGTGTAGTTCGGTACCATATTATTTGGTAGTTGAACGCAAATAGTTGTTAAAAGAAATATTCACCAATGTGGAGATTTATTAGGAAATTGGTTTAATTTCTTTTAGATAAGTTTCTTAATTTGTGTGAAATTAACTAGTTTCCTAATTAGTTTTAATTACTTGAAGTAGTAACCAAGGAATTTTCTTTTTTGTTTAGGATTTAGAAGTTATTTCCTATTATGTACAAGTATATGAATTAGTATTGGTTTCTTGTTGTTATTTGGTTTTAGCCAAATAATATTCTCTATAAATAAGTGGGTTAGCATACTACAAAGTGGCACACAAGGGACACACAAGACGCACAAAGGAGCACAAAAGTACGACATGTAGCTTTATACATGGGGTGAGAAAGGGTTCTTGAAAAATGAGAGATGGTATACCGGAGTTAGGTGTGGGTTCAAGTTATATTTTTGTATAGCGTTTTTCCTTTCATAATAAAAAATGAGTTTTCTCTCTATAGACATAGGTTCAATGATGCCAAACCACATTAAATCTTGTGTGTTGTTTGTCTTTTATACTTGTATCTTATTTGTCATTAAATTGTCGTGTACTTTATGTATCAATAGTTATTTATTCCATATTTGGATCCCAACAGTAAGTGTTCAAACCTTTTTTATTGCACTTTTCTCCCCACTCTTCCAAAAATGTGACCATAATATTGACATTTCACACACAATCGTTAGATTGAATGCTTTTGTCCAATTTTCAATTTAGTCAAAATCACAGGATATTATAGTATAAGTTTCCAAACTATAGGGAATTAAATTGAATAGTTGTTAAACCATATGGAGTTTTTTGGTATTTTACCCATTAATTACTGAAACGAGAGTATGATGCAAGGCTTACACAAGCGTTGATTTCTGCTGCTAAACTTAAATCCTTTTGCATCTTCTTCAATTGTCAAATCCTATAGAATAAAGGTTTCTGTTCCTAAACTTGTTTTTCCTTTACGTAATTGATGTTGCATTTAACGCCTTTCATTGATTTCGATGGTATCTTGGATATTGTCAGCTTCTTTGCATATTGTCACTTTCTAATGCGGTTTCAGCCTTTCTGGCAATTGGACTAATCTCTTCAGCTTATTGGCATCAATTGGTGGAGAAGTTCCAAAATAGGCTAACCTCTTTTTTTTTTAACTTCCCGGTTACCACCCGTTGCCATAACCCTTCCCACCTCCAACTGTCAAACTCAGGATTCAAATCATAAACCTGATAGCAGGGAGAGGGCTAGTTTAGTTATACTTGCATGGAAACAGATCTATCCGCAAACAGATATACATACATATATATATATATATTATTTAACCCAAATTAATAATTAAAAAAGTGGTATCATATAGAAGTATGATATAGTAGATTTGTCTGCTTTCTATTATGCACATTGTTAGCTGTTAGTTAGCTTTGTGGTGCAGAAGTTTCGATCCCCTCTCGTGTAGGGGCACTTTCTCTCTCCAAAAAAGAGAGCAACTCTTCCTTTTGTGGGAGCTTTCAAAAGTTCCGACAGTCCCAAAAGATTCAATCTTTGTATCTTTCAGACAAGGTTTTAGCGTTAAATACATTGTTCTAAGTGCATTTCGGTCGGATCCCTTTCATAGTAATTGGAGCTGAAGAGTCTTTACTAAGAGCAAAATTCCTAGAATCGCTGTTTGAGATCGTGGAGACCCTTTCAAGCTGTACTACTATGAGGTAACAGATCTACCGGCTAAGACGAAGTTCCAAGGGAGTGGTTTTGTTTCCGACAGGTAAACTCACTGCCATTCTCTTTTCCTATCTTGTCTGGTATAGTAGGTGCATTAGTGTTAGGTGCATATTGCTTTGTTTCTTTGTTGCCTACCATTCTAACATTTACCTAGAGAAAAGCATATTTTTTTTTCTTTTCCCTTAGTGGGTTCATCGGGTTTCCTTTGAGGTCAGTATGGGTGTGAGACTTATACTGGCAGTACCTCATTTAAGCCTAATGGCTGAAGACATTGTGGATATTCTGCAAAGTTTTAATCTCTCGAACAAGGAGCTGCAAGTCACAGAGATGGGGAGCGAGGAGCTAACTTTAGGTATCAAGGAGTGTCAAAGCAGTTTGTTAGGGAAAATAGTGGGGGAGAAGATAGCTAATTACACGGGTGTGAAGAACTTTGTCACAGCAGCATGGGGGTATCTAAGGGATTTGACTGTGGCTGAGTTGGGTCCAAATTTGTTCCAATTTATTGTACCAAAAGAAGAAGATAGGGATAAAATAGCTCAGGGAGGCCCGTGGATCTTGGATAACCAATTACTGGTTCTGAACAGATGGTATGAGGGGATTGAAGATGATGAAAAGGCCTTTAATTTAGCACCACTTTGGGTGCAAGTCTGGAATCTTCCAGTTCACTATATCTCAAAGGAGGTGGGGAAGAAAATAGGTTCTGTTTTTCACCTGGTAAGAGACGTCATTATACCACAAACTGGGGGAAAGGAAGGAAGGCACCTCAAGCTAGCTACATTAGTGGATATTACTCAACCTCTACTGCGAGGGACAACCATCAAAGTGGCAGGGGTAGCAAAATGGGTTCAGTTTAAATACGAGAGATGTCCGGACTTTTGCTATAGGTGTGGCAGAATAGGGCACAGTGAGAGATCTTGTGGAATGGGTGTGAGTGGGAGGGAAGGTAAAAGGGATAATCAATATGGGAATTGGATGAGGGCAGGGCATGCAAATGGGATGATGTCTGCTCAGAAAAAACATACAGGGGTGGTTTTTAACCCCTAAAGGAGCCACTGGAGTTATCAGAATGGGGAATGGATAGAGAAAGAATGTCCAGGGACACAAGTACATGATGGTTCCAGAGGAGCGGAAGAGGAGTGTGAGAGAGAGACAGTCCCGGAATTGGGAGGAAGCCAGGGGGATAAACAACCAACTGATCAGAGGGAGGTAGTGGTGGCAACAACCTCCAATTCAGTATCTGTTTCAAACATGGAGGGTGTTGAGGAAACTGAAGTTCTAATACCCAATTCTGGTGGGGATATAACCCACGTAGGGGAAGTAAAGGGTGGTAACGAACAGGGTGGGAGGACTTCTATGATGGTAGATAGCGATCTTGAGCATATACTGAGAGAGCAAGGGGTTCAGCAATTTCAACAACCAGCTTTGGAGGTGGCAAATAATGGCTTGTTACTTACACAGGTTGATCAGGTGAGCATGGCTACAAAGCAAAAGGGAATTAGGAAGCAGCTTCGAAGGGTTCAAAAGCCTTTAAGATCACCTAGCAATAGAAGACATGATCTAAAAGGAATTAGTATCAACCTGGGGAATATTAAATACCAAGGCAAGAGGAAAAGTACAGAAGTGGATGTGGCTATGGATAACGTTGAGGAGGAAGGACATGAGATGAAACGAAATAAACTAGGGGCTGAGGGGGAAGGGTCCATCCCTTATAGGACCCCAGGATCCAAATGAGAGTTCAGGTGTGGAATTGTCAAGGAGTGGGGAGCCCCTTGACAATTCCCCAGCTGAGAGAGGTTAATAACCTCTTCTCCCCAAGTATGGTGTTTCTAAGTGAGACCAAGAATAGAACAAAATACATGGAAAAAGTGAAAAACATTTTAAGATTTGATGAAATGGTCGTGGTGGAGGCAATGAATAAGGCAGGAGGATTGGCTCTTCTTTGGAAAGATGAGGTGAAAATTATAGAGGTTTTGAGGACTGCTTTTACCATAGAAGCGCATGTGGAGGACCCGGAAGTGAACATTAATTGGTGGTTTGTAGGCATCTATGCAAGTTGTGATGATCAGTTCAGAAAACAACAGTGGGAAGTTATAGAAAGGAGGAAGAGATTGTGGGGAGAAAAATGGATGATAGCAGGAGACTTTAATGATATTGTATCTAATGAAGAAAAATGGGGAGGAAATAGTCGACAGGAAAGCAACTTTCAAGACTTCAAGCAATTCATTAATGGGAATCAGTTGATGGATATTGGGTTTGTTGGACATCCTTGGACTTGGTGTAACAATTGGGATCAAGAAGGAGAAATCAAACAGAGACTGGATAGAGGTTTTTGTAGCTACTCCTGGTCCAAGGTGTATGAGAAAATTCAGTGTACTCATATTGACTCATATGCGTCTGATCACAGCATTCTTTTGTTCGATACTAAGATGAATCTTGGTAAGAGGAAGAAGAGATTCTACTTTGATAAGAGGTGGCTTAAAAGAGAGGATATAGGGGAGGTAATCAAGTCGGCTTGGGAGCAGGAAATGGATGGATCTAGGATGTTTCAAGTGGTTAAGAAGCTCAAAAACTGCCGAGTAGCTCTACTACAATGGAGGAATAACTTCCAAGCAAATGCAAGAGTGAAAACTGAGCAGATAAAAAACCAGTTGAGTGATCTGAAGTCTTCTCTAGGTAGCACCAGCAAGGATTGTAAGGATTCTCTAAAAAAACAGTTAAAGGAAGCCTACAAAGAGGAAGAGTTGTACTGGCTTCAAAAATCGCGGATACAATGGCTTAGGGAGGGTGACAAGAACACGAAATTTTTCCATGCCTCAGTACAAGGTAGGAGAAGGAGAAATAGACTGAACAAACTTCAGCGAGAGGATGGTACTTGGACTGAGAGTGAGCATGCAGTGAGCAAGGAGATTGCAGAATACTATAGGAATCTATTCAATAGTAATGACGTCGGGGACTTAACTGAGGTACTGGATGGTATACCGCATACTATCACTGATGAACTCAATGGAAATCTGATGAAACCAGTTTTGGAAGAAGAAATAAAAGCTGCAATTTTCTCTATGAACCCAGATAAATCTCCTGGGGTTGATGGTATGTCACCACTTTTTTTTCCAAAAATTCTGGACTACCATCAAGAAAGAAGTGGTAAATGCAATCCAAACCTTTTTTCATACAGGCCACCTCTTGAAAAGTGTTAACCATACGGTGATTACTCTCATCCCCAAAGTGCTTAATCCCACATCTTTGAATCAGTTAAGACCAATTAGTCTTTGCACTACCATATATAAAGTCATTGCTAAAATTCTTGCAAATAGGCTCAAAGGTGTTTTACATTGCTGCATTTGCAAAAACCAATCTACATTCATCCCCGGTAGGCAAATTATAGATAACATCTTAGTCTCTCATGAGTATTTGCATTATCTAAATAACAAGAGACAAGGTAAGGATGGGTTTATGGCAGTGAAGTTGGACATGTCCAAAGCCTACGACCGTGTGGAATGGAGTTTTCTTGAGGCCATTATGCAAAAGATGGGGTTTCAGTACAGATGGATAAACTGGATTATGGAGTGTGTAAGAAATGTATCTTACTCCTTCAATATTAATGGGGAGGTGAAAGAGTATGTGATACCCACAAGAGGTATTAGACAAGGGGATCCCCTATCTCCTTATCTGTTTCTCCTTTGCTCTGAAGGATTTTCCAACCTCATTCGGCAGGCTGCACAAACCAGAAAAATTTCTGGGATGAAGATAAGTAGACAGGGTCCTAGTATAACACACCTCTTCTTTGCAGACGACTCTTTGATCTTTTGCAAAGCAAATAAGGATCAGGCTACGGAATTAATGAGGGTGCTGCAGGTGTATGCCAAAGGGTCTGGACAACTGATAAATCTGGATAAGTCTTCTATACTATTCAGTAAGAATGTGAGGCTAAATCTGAAGCATGAGATTTGTCAAGTTATGGGGAATATGCAAAGTGTTACTCAAGGCAAGTATCTCGGATTACCAATGGTGGTATCAAGATCAAAGCAGCAGATTTTTGGCTTTGTCAAATCAAATATACAACAGAGAATGAGCAAGTGGAAAAACAGGTTCTTAAGTACAGCAGGTAAGGAAATTATGCTTAAGTCAGTAGCCTTAGCCATGCCGACGTATACCATGTCCTGTTTTAGGCTCCCATCCAGATTATGTAAGGAACTCAGCTCACTAATGTCAAACTACTGGTGGGGAGAGGCCAATGGAAAGAATAAGGTACACTGGTGCTCTTGGAGGAAGCTCACTCGGAGTAAGAACATGGGAGGATTAGGCTTCAAAGATTTGATGGCATTTAATGCAGCACTTCTAGGCAAGCAGGTTTGGAGACTGATAACGCAACCTAATCTCCTAGTCAGCCAAGTTTTGAAGGCTAAATATTTCCCAAGGACTTCCATATTTAGGTGCAAAGTCCCCAATACTGCATCTTGGATATGGAGGAACCTTATGGGAGCTAGAGAGTTGGTGGAACAAGGAACAAGAAGAAGGATTGGCAATGGAAACAACACCAATATCTGGGATGATTGCTGGATCCCGGGTAATATAAATGGGAAAGTCACGACCAGAAGACATATGGACAATGGACTTCAAAAAGTTCATGAGCTGATCTGCCAAAAGTCATGGAATACGAATCTGGTTTTCAAAAATTTCAATCGACAAGATGCTGAAAGGATTTTGGCCATACCAATAAGCTTACCAGGGAAGGAAGATAGTCATTTCTGGATATACGGGACAGATGGAAACTATACCGTTAATTCAGGGTATAAGCTATAGGTGCGGCAAGAAGGAAGTAAGCACAGCAGAAACCAGGTGGAGGGATCTACTAGTTGGGAGGATCAAACACAAAAGCTATGGAAGGAAGTGTGGAAATTGAAAGTGAAGCATAAACAGAAAATCTTCCTAAGGAAATGTCTCAATGATGCGCTTCTAGTGAGAGATCTTATACAAGGCAGAATCAAAGTTGGAGACCCCATTTGCAATAGATGTGGAGAAGATAGGGAAACATTAGAGCATACCCTTTTGAACTGCAGGGAGGCAAAACTGATATGGAAGCTAGCCCCTATCCAATGGGAAGGAATGATGGAGCAACAAGGGAATTTCCGCAACTGGTGGACATCAATCTCAGAAGCCAGGAATAGACCAGAAGGTGGGCAACATATTTCGTTGTCTGTCCATATTCTATGGCAGATATGGAAAGCTAGGAATGAGGAGGAATTTAATGGAAAAAAAAAAAAACAGCCTTGGAAGACAATTCAGAAGGCGCATCAGGAATGGTTAGAAATGGTGGAATTAGATACTAAGGAATCTAGGATGAGCACAGACGAAACAATAGCTCTACAGCAACACAGTTCGCAGTCAGCTTCAGAATATGGGATACTAGAAGTACGGATTGGGGTAACATCAGATATATCCAACCACGCCTTTGGCATTGGAATCAGCCTGAATCAAGGAGATCAAGGACCACACCGAGGATGGGCGCTACGAGCAAGAAGTTCAGGATCAATTCTGGTGGATGAAGCAATTGCACTGAAGCTGGCAATGTGTAAGACAGCCACAACGCAAGCCAGGGAAGTGCAATTGCAAGTGCAAAACCCACAAATCCTTAACAATATTCGCACAAACAGGGTAAGTGAGATTAGATTAGCGACTGTTGTGGATGACATTCTTCAATTAAGCCAATTGTTTCATATGTGCTCCTTTTGCCTAGTTAGAAAAGATAAGACTCAATTAAGCTACAAGCTTAGCATTCATGCCTTGGGCATTATTTTTGATGAGGAACATTGGTTTCCTTAGTGGTAAATATGCCGCTTGTAAAGTTCAATCGAGCCCTTGCTCGCACTTGTATATCATTTGTCAAGCAATACAATCAATTATCGTTTCGAAAAAAAAAAATATAGAAGTATGATATATAAAAGCACCCACGAATGGTTCAATATGCATCCAGAAACTACAAATCTAACTTCTATGAAAAGCATTAGGGACATATCCGTCAAAAGATGGAAGCTTAACCAATAGTGCTTATTAAGAATTTAAAGAAATGACGCCAAGCTAAGTTTGGCAATCAGCAATTGTTACAGAAGTAACCTCTATAAAAGAAAAAATAAGCCGAGTTAGAACAGATGTATTTTCTAGTCTGTTCTTTAAAGGCACAAAAAATAAAAGAAAAAATAAGCACACAAAATAGATTCAAACATTGTTAACAACTCTAGAATTACGTCAATTTTCGCCCAAAAATTTTAATCTTTTGCAGACAATTAAACACTGATCGCACCTCTTATTTTATTCTTGAAGGGCACATTATAGAAAAATTTCAAAAAAAATTAAAAATTTTAGTTCCTGAATACAACCATTTTATTGTTATTGTTATTATTATTATTTGTTATAGTGTACAACTTTACAATATTATAATCGAAATCCACATTGGTATTTTATGTACAAACGAATTACATAAGACTAATAATCCTCATAAATGGTGGGAACAACACAACGCTTCCGGGGCTAAAAAAATGGCTAGTAGAATCCAAGAAGCGTAGCCTCTTTGTTTTCCAGCAGTTTCTTGGTGCGTTCTTTAATAAATTTCTCACATTAATTATAAATTTGATTAAAAAGTTTCCCAAAAAAAAGGCTAATTTTATTTGGAGTTGAGACGAGTTCATACATCTACCAATCAGTAACTTTTTTTTATTCTTCCAACAATTTTTTTTTATTTTACATACATTGCATCACAACAAATACAACTTCTCGAATAATCTACAATCCAGTAACACTCATTGCTTCTGTAACACCTGCACAAGAACCAGCTCTGTGACTTGATTATATGGAATTTCTTCTTGAAGTAACTCTTATTTTCGCTTGAGAAAGACAGCGTAACTAGCATCTTTAATGTACCTCTCATCAGACAGTATAGGATTCTCGATATATTTTTCTCTATGACGTTCGAGGAAGATATCAATTACTCCTTCACCAAAATGTTCCTTGATGAGTTCCCCAAGGACAGCTCTCAAGTGAAGGATACAGGCATCAACGTCAAGCAGAACCCATTTGTTTGCGATGGAAGAGACAAGCTTCTCTATTTTCTTAATCTCAAACAATCCATTCACCTCAATCAGTGTTTTCAGCTCAGATGGTGATGGATAATAAAAAGGCAAGTTAAATGAATCCACCATTTCTTGAGTGATGATTCCCTGCAAGGATACTATGGTGTCAACTTTCAAGCATGTTACTACTAAATTAAAAGATGGAAAACTGATTTTGTGAAAGTTGATGCAATTGGACTGCTTCCTTACCATTTGGGCCATGTCCAGGAAACAGGATCCCAGAATGTTAAAATTTTCGCCTAAACTAGACTCACATATCTTGATATCATCAGGGAATGCAACTGCTACAATCATCATTAGTCCTCCAGGAACAAGCTCTTGTGCTCTGGCTCTTAGGAACAAATCAAAATCTTTTCCAAACTGAGTTGAATATGCATCTTCAACTTCTCTAGCAGCTCCAGTATAATGAATTCTGCCCTTGTTCCAAGCAGGGGAGTTTTTATCCGTCACTTCTACTGGGATCTTGGAGAGCCAGTGAAGCGCGGTGGAGCAGTGTGCAAAGTGTAGTCTGGAACGAGGAAGTAGGCGCCCATAAAAAGAACCCGGTACACCTGTTGCAAAGTACCGTACTGTAGCAGGAAGGTTTCTGAAGAGTGTGTTGAAGTCATTACTGACATGATCGTTGAAGAAGACGTGGAATTCTGGCATCTCTGCTTCCATTCGTAGGGATTTGTATTTGTTTTCAACAGCTTCGATGATGTTATGTACTGCGTGGAACGTGTTAGGACCAGCAGAACATCCAAAATCTGCAACTGAAATGAATTACTGGAAGGATTAATAGAGTGCAGATGGTTTTCAGGATGAAGATGTTGGTCAATCAGTTCAGTCATCATTTTCTTAGCTGAATCCAGTGATTCTTTCTGCATCAAGTTAAAAATTTACACGTTATGTTCCCCTGTTTTTGTATCCAAGAGAATTAAGCAAGTAAATTTGACTGTTACATAGCAGATTAGTACCTGATAATTGGAATTTCGAGCATAGCTGTATGGACCATCACCACCTACCATGGGATATGTAGAATTGTCGAATATCTCTTGAGCCATATTCATGCTCCTGTTGATCAGCCTGAAGCCTTTTGGTGGTTGTTTAATTTCTGGGAAATGACAATTTCTTTATGAGAATTTAGTGAAAGAATTAAGAACTTATAGTTTTCTTATATTGATGTCACTTGTTTTTGTGCATGCATAATTTTTTTAAAAAAATAAGGGTAATATATACTTTGCCATCCTACAGTTTAGCAATTTTTCACATAATTCTTCTATAGTTTCAAAAATTATACATAACCCACTTATAGTTTAGATTAAAATATCAAAGCGACAAAAATAATTCTCTATAATGGAATTCGATGAAATGTCAAGATTACTCGTGTTCATAAGCTAAAATGACTAAAGTGACTAAAATATATAAATATAATATGCATGACACTTTAACTCCTTATGATTTTGTGTTTGACTACATTACTCCCTCATGATTTAGTCCTTTATCACATAATCTCTTTATAGTTTTTAAAATATATACATAACCCCTGTGGTTAATAAATAATTTTCAACTTTGCATAAGAGTACTTTCGAAATATTAGTTGATTTCGTTATGAAATGTAAATTCCATCATTTTGATACTTTAATCCAAAATTTTTGAAATTCTGAGAAAGTTACGTGAAAAAGCGTTAAACTGTAGGTGATAAAGTGTAATTTATCCAAAAATAAAGTTAGAACAGATGATAATTGAATTATCCCGGTGTCTGTTGGGCATGGTCCAACTTCATTGGGTTGCCCAAACACAATTAAAGCTCATCATTTATTGTCTTGGTCAAAGTTTTACTTGTCCATGGTTCCAATCAATTGAGTGGCGACAGCCGCGGGTCGCGCTCTTGAAACTGGAAAGTATCAGCAGCCACTTTCTGAGGAACCAAGAGAGTGAAAAAGTGAGACTCGGAGAAAATGCTAGAGAAGGAAGCAAATTCCTTGAACTTCAAGACCTTAATTGGATAGTCAAATAGAGCATGATTGGAATGAAATTTTAGTCACGCGATCCACTTATTATGTTCCACCCATCTATTAATTCTAATGTTGAATTTCCTCTTCAATTGGTAACATCTTTCTGATCTCATTTCTTAAAAATTTGTAATTTTTTAGAGATGTATTGTAGTAGATCCACTTGATTGATATGGTTGATGTTGTTGTTATTCGAATGCTCTGAATAGACTTGTGTCTCCTATTATTATTATAGTGAACATTTTTTACTAAACTAGATTCCATAGTTTTTTTCAATTTGGGTTTTTCACATTAAAAGTCTTGACATATTGTGCCTTTTACTAATCCATATTTTACTATTATTGTTGATATCATTCCTTAGTGATTTGGTTTGTTCCTATTTTAATTGATACTTGGAAAAAAAGTAATTTATTTTAGATTAATTCTAATATTGTGTGCCTATACCTGTACCTCATTTCCAACATAGTGGTATTAAAATGGCCAGGTTGGACTATATATTTGTACTAATTAAATGAATGACTCGGAAAATGATAGTATGATAAAATTGAATGAAATTAATTATTCGACATGAAAATCTAGAATAGAAGATTACTAGTATTGTTGAGATTTGTTTGAAACTAATCTACGGGATAAAGTTAAGTCAAGCAATATGAGTGATTTTCCATATTTTACTAATTTCTAATTTGATTTTCCATATTTTACTAGTTCATGATTATTTATATATTCTCTATATTTTTATTTCAAGATGATTGTGTTCATTTTAGAGATGATTATTTTGCATCATTACATAACTGGCCAGTATTTAATTGTTCTAAATAATTTACTGCTATCTAGAACTTCAAATCTGTAATTGTTTGATAGTTTTAATACTTGTGATGAGTGATTTTCATTTGATTGTGGAATAACTGTTTTTAGGAGTGTTTTTGAAATATTTTATTATAACAGTGTATATAAAAAACTTTTACTGTATATGTTTTTTGTGGTATTTAGGGAGGGGATTTTGGAATATATTTTGGGATAACTTTTAAAATTAAAAAATTTTAAGGGCACTTTTTAAAGCTAATACTACCACTCACAATCACAACCACCACCACCACCACCCACCACTACGACACTACCACCACCCTCTCCCTCTTCCTTTCTCCTCCCCTCCCTCTTTTTCGGAAATAGGGCAAGAACGGTTGTTAAAAACAACTGTTCTTGGCAGTTGATGGCTATGATTTGGCCAAAAAATTTTGTGCGGCTCAGATCAGATCTTGTAACTTGATTTTCACGCCGTGTGTGGGATCCACAAAAATTTGTTCTAAAGTTACGTCGTGTGCAAAGAAAGTTACACCGTGTACAATCAAAGTTACGCACAATGAAAAATGCACACAACCGGCAGAAATGGTTGCACCTGCAACCGTTTGTGCCCCTTGTCCCTCTTTTTCCTCCTCCTCCTCTCCTCTTTTCCTTCTCCCTCTCATTCCCTCTTTCTCCACCCCTTTTCCTTCTCCTTTCTCCTTCCCCGCCACCTCTCATCCCTCCCCTCTGCCTTGATCTAGCCTAGACTAGGTCGCGGCTTTCTTGTCGCGATCTAGCCGCAACTGGAATACAGCCTCTGGTTGCAACCAAAGGCCTCGATCTGGTCGAGGCCATTTTGTTAGGGAAAGGAGGGGCAGGTGATGGCGGGGAAGGGGAGGGAAGGAGAAGAGGAGAAGGG